TATTAGGAGGAAGATCTTTCTACCCTTAATCAATATTTAAAATTGATGTTAAAAGGTAAAAATTAATTATTAAATTTTAGTTGATTCATTATTTGAATTAGAAATTAAATTTGAGGCTAAAAAATTGTTTACCAGATAAAATGACTAGGATTACATTCAGGAACAATTATCAAAGTTTTGAATGAAAATATCATTATTCCTCGATTACCAATTTCGTTTTATTATCACATTATTGATCATCAACTACTGAAATAAATAAATTCATACTCATGAATTTAAAATTTGATCTATTTAAGCAAAGTAAATTTCTTAGTTTACATAATATAAGTCATTTTTGATTAAAACCACTTAGATATTTTTTATCAGTATCTGAGAACATCTTAATCTTATTTTATTTTAATTTTTTTAGGTTGAAAAAACATGATTTAAAAAATATTGTAAGAAATTATCAACTTAATTTATTGAATGATTACCTCATTTATTAGCTTCAACTTTATAAATGTAACTTTTCAATTTTAAAATTTTACCTCATTAAATGGAATATTCTAAGATATTTTCTATAGCTGCTTTAAATCTTAGATGACGTTCTAAAGAACTAAATAGACTATTCTAAATTTTTTGGAAGAAAAATTATATATAACAATGTTGTTAAACAACAGCAAATTATTGTTTAATATGTGTGAAGTCTTATACAATCGATTTTAGTACCCACACTTGTTCAAGTATAAATAATAATTTAATAAAATTGAAAGTTTAATATTATTAAAAAAAATGAAAATCCATTCATAATTGATAGAGTATAAAACATCGACAGGTCAAGTATGATCCAGTCCATGCTAGATATGTAAATTATAAATAAATTATTGTGATTCTTCCTTAGATGAATTGCATAGAAATCTTTAAAATAACTAATGTGTTTGTTATAATGGATATTATGAAAACATTGATTTAAACCTAGTTAATTATCATGCATTAATTACTATTCATTATTAAATGTACAACTTGTAGAGATCCAATTCATCAATCTGGAATATCTTGTGAATGCTAATAAAAATATTTCATGAACGCCTCTTTTAATACGTGAAGCTTGTGTTAGTAACTGTTTTTGCATTGATGGATATTTTATGGATACTTCATTATAGTAATTTTACTTATCTAGCCGATAAGTTGCCAACCTTTTGTTCATCATTGCCTAATATGTTAAACAAATGGAAATGATTATTTAGAGTGTGCAACTACATTTGAGAAGAGCACTACTTCTCAAAATACTTGTGTTTGTCATACTCATAAATATTAAGTTACCAAAAAATCTTACCTACTGTTTTATGAATAGAATATATTGATTTTAATATAATGAGCACTCTTACTGATTGTCAGTCTTGTATTCAATCAATGAATTTAACTAATTTTAATGCAATCTTGGATTTTTTCTGAATAAAGTAAACTGCCAAGAATGTTTTAATCCTTGTCTATAATCTTTAAGGAAGTACAGATTACTGTTCAAATGTAAAGATAATTAACATTATATATCAAATGAATAATGCATTTTTAATTATGTTTTATAAATGATGATAACTATAATTGTATTCTTTGTTACATTTGATAAATAAAATTTTATGTTTTTTAATCAAAAGCGACATACAATTAATTCAATGCCTTAGCCTTTAAAAATAATAATTTATAAGACTAAATTACTGTAAAATCCTTATCCTACTTGTTAATTAAATGATACTCATTGTGATCATTGCACAGATCTTATCATTCAATTAATAAATTTATCCAATGAATTTGTTAGGATACTTTCTACTCATATTGCATAAGTGCATGTGTAACTTGTATTTAACCATTTTTCTTATGCGATAGTTAAGGATGTTTAAGTTGTATATATTCTATGGTTAAAACTCTTATTATTCTAAAATTAAATAATTAACCCCTTAAAAAATTGTATTTATAAACCAGTGTATTTTTAGTATTTTATTATTTAATAAAATAATCTTTTAGCACATAATTATCAATCAACTATAACAATGCTATAATAAGAATAATTATTTATTTGATTAAAATACTCTTGCAAAAAAATGCAAATTATAAAATGATCATTGTCTTGAATGTTTAGATTTAAATCATGATCTAATCAACAATAAATGTGTATACAAATTTGGATTTAGATCTTCAGGAATTGAAAAATTGAGTTGTTCACTCTGCGAATATCCACGCCTTTATAGCTCAATTAGTGTGAATACTTGTCTTTCTTGTTTTGATACTAAAATATTCCAACTAGAACATGACAAATGTGTTTTTAAATAAGATTATTTTTAGTAAGGAACTGATTGTTCAGAATAATGTTTAATCGATAATTCTAATAATTGTTTACAATGTTAACTTCCTTCTCTAACATGTGTATTTAATTAAGATTTTTGCACATCTTGTTAGGATAACTAGTCACTTGTTGAAGGATAATGTATGTGTGAAGAAAGTGATATTATATTCTTAATATTCATTTTGAATTATGCAATTAAAACTGTAGTAAATATAATTCACATACCGAATGTATAGATCAATTTTATTTATATGAACTTAATATTTACAATGTAAAATCCCGTGTTTATCATGTTATGATGTTTAAAATTGTAAAACATATTCTGATAATTACATAATGCATGATCAAAGAAAATGCATTAAATGCATCTAAAACTGTCAAATTTATATTGATTTAAATCATTGCTTGAAAATTTTTGGTAAACAAATATTACGCGAATTTCTAAGAAGTATTTTTCATTCTTAATATTATAATATTTAAACTGTTTAATATTCATTATTTAACTAATTACAAAAATAAAGAAACCTAATTAATTTAAAGTAGTTCTAATATTTAACATTTCAAACTTAATAATAATATATAATATGAGAAAATGATTAATACTTTTATTTTCAGTTTCTAATTGTTATATTTTATTAGCTCTATTGAGTATTGAGATATTTAATTTGGTTTTCTAAAGAGATCTGATAGAAATTTGATTTATTTAATATTTAATTTCTTTTCTTGATATTTCTTTACTTAGATTCTTATTTTTCATATCAAGATGAAAGAGTTTAAATTGATAATGAAGCCTCTTTAAAAAATCTTTATCTGTAATCTTTACTTAAAATGTTTACCTAGCTATTTCATTTAATTAATTTTTTTTCCAAACTTTAAAACCAAGTTTTTAATAAAATTCACATAAAAATAACGATATAATGCTATATTAAATAATCTAATTTTAATTTAATAGTAATTTTCAATATTATTAATATTGATAAAATAAATAATTAAATTAATTAAAATAATCTAATCATAATAAACTAAATAATTAGTCTGACTTAATAGTTTAATGTTTTATCCATTCATTGCAAATTTTTTTAAATAGAACTTGGAAAATTCTTGTTTACTCAGTAATTTAATGTTTAAATCTCTACAAAAATAAAAGAATTTAGCTAAATTTACTTAATTACTCTCTTGATATCTTATTGTTTTTATAAAATGAAATAAAATAGAATAAAATTAATTTACACACCTTTAGCATAAGATTATTTATTGTAAAAGGGAAAAATCTTTTGTATTACAGTATTATTAAAGGAAACATAATAACTAATTTTACT